ACACACACACACATATATATATATATATATATATATATATATATATATATATGCATACCATCTTTATATAGGTGTGTGTGTGTGTGCGTCGTGCATGTGCGAGAGTTTACAGCGGGCCTATACATGCTAATATCTAATTATAGACGACGTAATAGTCTCTCTGTCTATCTATCTATCTTTCGCTCGCTCTCCCACTCTTTCTCCATCTGTCTCGCTTTCGCTCACGCTCACTCCCTCGATCTCTCGCCCTCTCTTCCTCAATCTCGCGATTGTCCTCTCTCTATCTCTCTCATTTGCTCTCGCCCTCTCTCTCTCATTTGCTCTCTCCCTCGATCTCTCTCTCTCTCTTTCTGTGTAACTCTACTCTTGGTCTCCCTGTCTAAAAATCGCAGGAGTAATTCTCTCGTGGCGCAACTCAGCGTCCCTGCTCTCCCACACACACATACACACGCGCACAGCTCTCTCTCAGACACATGCACACTCCCTCTCTGGTTCTCTCAGATTTGTGAGCACACCAAAAGCTATAGGCGTAATTAAGTTCCAGTTAACCAAGATGTCATTGCTTGTTTGATCAGTGATCAGGTGCTAAATACAAGGAATCTATTTGTTTTGTAGCGTGCGTATTAGCCATGCACGCACAGGAGATGGGAAAGAACCTTGCTGTGCTGACGTGTTTTCTACAGTCGTTAAGTGTAAAGCCCCCACTAGTTTACCAACACGTTCACACCTACACGCGACTGACTGACAACATACACGTACACCTACACGCACACACGCACACACATGCACGCATACACGCACACACGTACACGCACACACGTCCACATACACGTACACACACAGAAACATGCTCACACACACGCACACAGCCACACATACACACGCACACACATAGACAGACACACACACGTGCATACACACAGACAGACAGACAGACAGACACACATACATACACACACACACAGACAGACAGACCACACGACACACACACACACACACACACACACACACACACACACACACACACACACACACACACACACACACACACACGCGCACACACCACCACACACACACACACACCGTTTGTATGTGAAGGTAGAGAGAGAAAGAGGAATATATGCGTATACGTATGTAGAGAATAGGAGAGATGGGAGAGCCGGGGCTGAAACATGCGACGAGAGATGCATGCGGACGACGTGTCATTGCTGCTAATAATTCATAGCGGGTCGCCGCTTGGAGCGCTGTCGACGCCGACGTCGCGTCAACGTTTGACGACTGCACCGGTTGTGAGTAACACGCAGAAGTTGAGGTGTGTGAGCGTGCGTGATAACCACGGCGACCGCGTATGCCACACCGACGTCTGTGTAGTTTCAGTTCACTCATTTATTGCACGTTCAGACTAACGTAGATAGCCCGCAGTCGACTTCAACCAGCGCTATGCAATCTCCTCGCCGTGGACCAGGGTTTAGGCGATAGTCCAAATGCACTATAAGTAAGTGGACCGAAACTAGGGGCACTCTATTATCACGCCACTCGCTATATAATATGACCGTCTAATCATAATCTGGCCGTCTGAAAATATGGACTGAAAATGGACTGAAATATGAACTGAAATATAGTCTGAAAATATGGACTGTTCGTGAGTGAACTGAAGCTTATAATGTATGTGCGCTGGCGGGCGTGCACGCACGCGCGCGCGCAAATACACACGTGCGCACGCAAGCACACATCCAAACGGGCACGCGCGCGCACGCAAGCACACACCCAAACGGGCACGCGCACGCACGCAAGTACACACCCAAACGTGAGCACGCACGCACGCAAGCACACACCCAAACGCACGTACGTACGCACGCACGCACGCACGCACGCACGCACGGGCGATGACAGCTATTGGAGGCTGCGTGATCGCACTTGGCGACACGCGCGTTGCTCCTTCCCTCCACCCTTCCTTCCTTCCTTCCCTCCTTCATCAATGACGCAGCACGTGATCACGCCCTGACGGGAAGCAACGCGGCGAGTGTATTCGCTTTCACCCGACACCGATCTCGATCTTCGCGAAAAACACGGGCCGTTATTTCCTCGCGGAGTGCTGACGTCAGCGGAGCGTCGATACTGCGTTACGTCGGAGATCGTGTGACGGCGCTTGTTTATGAATGAACGCGTGCTTCATTAAGTGCCCTGGAGTGCACGGAATTAGGCGCATTAGCAATCAATGACGGATAATATCGAGTGACGCCAGCGATCAGCAACAGCTGTCCTCATTAGAGGCCGGTGATAAAAACGCGAACGAGGCCGCAGGAACATATATATTACTTTTTACACAGCGATGCTAGCGCAAGAAAAGTTGCTGTAATAATAATACGAAGCTTATCTCTCGCACGACTATATATATACTGGAATATATTAGTAGTAGAATATCATTTTAGTGTATTTATGAAGTGTGATCTGTGATAAAGATCGAATTTTATCGGAATTTAGTTCTTAAATTAAGTTAATTTAATCTTTTAATTTTGTTTAATTAAACATTATTAATTTTAAAGAATAATTTCGTTTATATTTAATTTTTTTTCGAAATTTTAATTCAGAAGGAATTAATTTTTTTATGCTATTTATTCCAAAGAACTAAATTTTCGACCATCTGATCTTGGTTAGAAAATACGCGGGATGCGTGAAATAACGCTACGACATGAGCGTGTGCATGGAGAGCGATAAGAAGTGAGAGACATGCGATGTGTTCACTTTTTACTCGCATAATATGAGACACGTTCATAATTTTTTGCCCCTCGTTGATGATAACATGACGTGTGTCTGTTGCATAGCCCGAATTGCCATCCCCGAACGGGATAAAGGAACCGGAAGCCGTATGCGAGGTCCACTGCCCACGAGGACCTGCCGGAAGTCCGGGCACTCCGGTAAGCTTGCTAGTTTCCGGTCGCAGTTGTGATGTGTATCCAAATAATTATGTTATTACATATATATATTAATATATATGTATATATATATATATAATATATGTACATATATATATATATACTTATAAGTAAGAGAGCGAATGGAGAGAGAGTAT